GGCCACAATTCACAGGATTAGGAGTCAAAAGCAAGTCTGTGTTTCCCCAAATACACCGTCTGAGATGAACAAAGGTTCTTGCAGCTTCCCCGCATCTCACAGGCAGAGGCTGACCCTGTGCGGAGGACAAGGGGGCCAGCTACGAAGGCCAACGCGGGGTCTGTAAGACTGAGGGAATCTCCCGGGTTGCAGGGAAATGTGAGCTTAAAAAACGGCTACATCCCCTCCCCCAGTGAACAGCAACACCTGCACAGATGTCACTCCCCCCCAAAAAAAAAACAAATTGGGCAACACTCTAGTTGCCATACCGAACCAAAACGGCCAAAGAAAACTTGCCCTCCGGAGTGAGAAGGGAGGGGCAGGGGAGATGAGCAGCAGGAGACGGGTGGTGGTGGTGGTGGTGGTGGTGTGGACAGACGGAAGCCAGCTGGAGCCGGGGACACTCCAGTGGTGGGGCAGGAGGGGAGAGATGAGATCTCCTCTTCCCCGCAAGTCCCATTTTTGTAGTCCAAAATGCTCAACTGACATCTTTCTTGGGAGGCCAACCCCTACCCCATATTGAAACGTTTCAACTCCAAACAGCAGTTATGAAAAGCAGATCCAGGCCCTGGGGTCCCAGAGTCCCAGGCCGGCAGGAGGCTCAGGCTGGTGTGGTTGAGAGGCGGAAGCAGCCCTGCCGGGAACGGAACATGCCACGCTCAGCCACGGAGGCGGGTGCTCCAGCAGTGCAGGGTTGCTTCTAGGCCCGCGCACACATCCGGTGGGAGAAATGTCTCTCCCCCTTGACGCAAGCCATACGCACTGATCCCACCACCATATCATAACAGCAGCAAGGGAAAGCGGGGTGGGGGCTCCCCTGTCTGTCACACGACCTGCCCCCCCATGTGAAACTCAATGAGCACCGGTTCATCTTAGCTGGACAGGCTTCAAAAGACCTTGAGAGGGCACGTTTGGGATAGGGGGAACGGTGTCTGGGGGGGGGGGCCTTGCCCAATGTTTGTGTCCATTTGGTCGATCCCGATAAAAGGCACCACATGGGTTCTGTTCTTGTCTGGGGCTCTTGCATGCACCAATATGGCTGTTGGTAACTTCCCCCTACTTATTTCCACCAAGAAAGTGAGGGGATTGTCAACAGACTGAAAGGCCACCCACCCCCAAAGACAAAACAATAGACAAACAGAAGGCAAAAGCCCCCCCCCCCCCCGGCTTCCCTGGAAGCCCTGCCTCCTCAAGTCTGTTCTGGGGGGATCTCCACCATTGTTAGCACTCAGCCTGCAAGGGATCCGCCTGCCTTGTCTGGTCGGACCACTTATTGTCTGGGTTTTGCGTTTCTAGTGAGTGGACAAAGAGCCTCCACCACCAGAGGGGGTCTCTTCCCACAAAGGCAGGCGATCTTGGATATCTAGGATGCTTGTGAGATCGGGTCCTCACGGCAAGACCTGAAAAATCTGCTTCCCTCCCCTCTCACCTTTCCAGTTGTGTAACATCCAGCCTCATGAGTCTGAGAGACTGCAGGAGGATGTTTTGTCTCAAGTTGGTGGATCCGAATCAAAGGCCCTGGGGAGGGAAGGCGGCCGGCACAGCCCGACCCCATCAGATCTCAGGCGCTGAGCAGGGCTGGGACGTGGATGGGAGACCACCAAGGATGGCTCTGCAGAGGAAGCCACACCCCACACCCCCGGGCAAGCCTCCTCTGCTTCTCACTGGCCTTGAAGACTCTCCCTGGGGGTGCTCTAAGTCCGTTGCGTCTGGATGGCATTCAGGGGTGTTGAACTCATTTGTTACGAGGGCCAGATGTGACATAATTGAGACCTTGTTGGGTCGGGCAACGTGTGTCATAAAACGTAATGCCAGGAAGCAGAGAGATAAACTTTATAAAGGAAACAGACAAACACAATTAATGGTTTTTTAAACTTTAAAGAACAAATTTCCAGGGAGTTCGACACCCCTGGATTCAATCCGACACGCTTTGTTCTCACCGCTAGCAGCTGTGATGAACACCAGGGGGCAGACCTTTGCCACCAAAGGGAAGGAGGGAGGCAGGGGGGGGAGGGTTCCCAACATCTGCTCCCCCCCCACCATCACCACATCCTGCCCAGTCTTCTGTGGCAAATTACAAGCTGCCTTGTCCCCGCCCCTGTATGCAATGCTGGCTCTCCATCTGGGAGAATAATGTGCACACACCCCCTCCCCTGGATAAGGGACCCACCAGCAACCCACATTTTCTGGTGAAGACACTGAACGTCGCGGACTGCCTCTGCTTTGAGCATGACGGTGGTCTTCCTACTGGGACCCAGAACTAGTTCTGAACTGGCAGAGAATGGGGGGAAAGAGATCCAGGGGTTGCAGAGTGGGAAGCCCAATGGGAATGTCGACTCCCTGTGTGGCAGCGGCGAAAAAGGCAAACCCCGTGCTGTGCTGGGGGAGATGATCGGGAAAGGGGCTGGCCACAGAAGAGCCACTACTGTGATGCCCTGGCAGAGAGCCAGAGTGGGGGCCCTGCGTCTTGGGCGCCCCTGTCTCCAGAAGGACATTGCAGAGCTGGGAGAAGGGCAGAAGACGGCAGCCAGGACAATTGGAGGGCTGGAGCACCTCCCCTCGGGGGAAAGACCAAACAGACCAGGACTTAAAAAAAAAAAGATGGCCAAGCAGAACACAATAACAGTTTATAAAATTATGCGCAGGGTGGGGAGAGCTGGCAAAGAGAACTTTCTCTTCCTGTCCCAAAAGACTAAGCTGATGGGCAGTCAGTGCAGGATAAACAAAGGGAAATTCTCCTTTACACAGTAAAAGGTTTCCCTTGCTCGAAAGCCCGTCGAATCTGACTCTAGGGGGCAGTGCTCATCTCGGTTTCCAAGCGCTGTCCGGAGAGGTTTCTGTAATCATGTGGCCAGCGTGACTCAATGCTGAGGTGCATAGGTAACAGCCACCGAAGCGGTACCTATCTATCTACTTGCAATTTCTTGCTTTGGAACTGCTAGGCTGGCAGGAGCTGGGGCCAGAGACGGGAGCTCACTCCGTCAGGCGGCACTCGGGTCTCGAACTGCTGAACTACTGACCTTCCACAGCCTGCAGTTCAGCGTCTTAACCTCTGATCCACTGCAGCCCCCTCTTTACACAGAGAGTGATTCAAAAGTGGAATTCGCTGCCAGAGGACGTAGTGATGGCCACAGGAATAGATGGCTTTAAAAGGGGAATACGCAGATTAATGGAGGCAGGGTCTCTCAGTGGCTACCAGCTATGATGACTAATGTGAATCTCCATGTCCAGAGGCAGTCAACCTCTGAATCCCATTGCCAGGCAACATCAGGGGAAGGCCTTGGCCTCCATGCCCCGTTGTTGGCCCTCCAGAAGAACTGTGAGGCAGGATGCTGGACTAGATGGACCCTCCCTGGTCTGACCCAGCAGGGCTCTTCTGGTGTTCTTCTCAGGGGAAGGCCTCGGCCTCTCTGCCCTGTTGTTGTTGGCCCTCCAGAGGAACTGGCTGGCCCCTGTGTGTGAGACGGGAGGCTGGAGTAGAGGGACCCTCCCTGGTCTGATCCAAGCAGGGCTCTTCTGATGCCCTTATCAGGGGAAGGCCTCAGCCTCCATGCCCTGTTGCTGGCCCTCCAGAGGAACTGGCTGGCCCCTGTGTGAGGCCGGATGCTGGACTGGATGGACCCTCCCTGCTCTGGTCCGGCAGGGCTCTTCTGATGTCCTTCTCAGGGGAAGGCCTCGGCCTCTCTGCCCTGTTATTGGCCCTCCAGAGGAACTGGCTGGCCCCTGTGTGAGGCCGGATGCTGGACTAGGTGGACCCTCCCTGCTCTGGTCCGGCAGGGCTCTTCTGGTGTTCTTACGATCGACCACCAAGCATGACCTTAGTTGAGAGGGCCCCTCCCCTCCAGGAGCTGAGACCAGGCCGTCCAAAGGAACTCGGAGGGAGGAGGCCCTGGTGGGCACGCGTGCCCTCCTCCTCCTCCTCGTCAGAGGAGCCTGCGCC